GCGGTCGCCGTCGGCAGCTGAGGCGTCGGAGATGATGGAGGGCTGGCGGGAGTGACAGGGGCTGATCCTCAAAGCAGCTGTGGTGGCAGGAGACTGGTGTGTGAGTGGGCTAAAAGACATTTGGTGTATCTGAGCATGTGGTTGTGTAGGCCTATACCTTGCCTGTCCGCGGGGTGTGAATGGTACAGGGTCTGTTGACTCTGTCTGATTGCCGCAGTGAGGGGAAGGTCTGCTTGCATCACCCACTCCTGACTGCCGTTCACCACCGGCTCCGATGGCATCGCCAGAGAGTGACGCTTTGGCACATCTTTAGTGAGGGTGGCCAGAGACTGCTTTGCCTGGGGTACAAAAACAACACACACACACACACACACAAATGCTCCATATTTCAGTTATAATCACAAGAACCTTTATAAAGTTGGCTCTAAAATTCTGAGGCTATAAGCTGAAATAAAATGCTGAATTTTAAATGTAATAAAGATGAGGACATGACAGTAAAGTTTCTAATGCTAAAAAAAATTTTTATTTTAAATTTGTCAAAGAATCCTGAAAAAAAAAAAAAAAATGTTCACAAAAATATTAAGCAGCACAACTGTTTTCAACATTGTTTTCAACATATTATCTTGTGACACTGAAGACCGGAGTAATGTCTGCTGAAAATTGTCATCACTTTGCCATCATAGAATTAAATTACATTTTAAAATTCAAATAGAGAACAGTTATTTAAAATGTTATTAATATTTCACAACATTAGTGTTTTTACTGTATTTTTTAAATGCAGTAAAAACAACGCTCTATTATATTTCACTATACACTCTATTATATTTCACTATTATATTTATATTCTATCTACTTGTTTTATTTATTATATATATTAAAATTTGACCCTCTAACACTAGCACTATCTTTTCTATTTCTATTCTACCTACTTTTGTTGGTTTGATTGCTTCTATTGTCCTATAAAAGCAACAAAAATAAATAATACAAGCAAAGATATATGATAAACAGTATCTTATCTAAATTATCTAAAATAATTTGATGAAAAATACTTAAGTTCTTCCCTGGGCTTCCTCAATCAAGATCAAATCATTACTATTATCGTTACTTTTAAAGAGTGACACTCCTGACAAACAATCATATTAGTCAGTGGTAAATTAATCGTTCTTTGTACATCTACAATTATCTAGTGTAACCCTGAGCAAAAAGAAAAAGATTAAATAATTATTATAGCACGAAAGGTTTAATGTTAGATTGACAAATTTCATTTTTGAAAGATTATGTCAGAAGACACACATTAAGCGTATATTAACCAAACTGAAGTGTCAGTGGTGGATCTCATGCACAGGTAATGCACGTCACCTTTCTGTGCTGGTCATAGTTTCTGATGAAGTCTCGGAGCTGCTCTTCTCTGCTCTCCAGTGTGGTGTATAGCTGCTGCATCTGGTTCACCAGGTCAGCCTTTTCTGCCTTCAACCGCTTCCGATCACCCTTCATAGCTACACACAAACATACACAATCATATTCATGAATGCAGTAATAATATTGACTTTTAGCACATCTTATAAGTATATAATTATCTGAGTGTGTTCTAGATCATAACATTCATATTTAATTGTTTTTGCAGTGTGGCTGCAACAAAAATACAGGCTTTGTGCCCTTGAATGACACGCTTCTGTGGTTTGTGCCCTGACCCTATCTGTCAGATAAGAGTTGTGGATATACAAAGTGACGGACTACCCTGTGTGTGTACAAAATAAATAATCTTAAACTTAAAATCTAGTGTCTTGTTAGGCACTCTTTATTGTTGGATTTAAGTCTTATGTTTTATTGTTATTATCATTAGCGTAAATAAAGAACTGTGTGTCGCAGTGCACCGCTCAAAACAGCCTCAAGGGGGCAGCATGCTCCACTATAAACATCCCACGCGGAAAAGAGACATTTGTGTTCTTTGTTACAAAATAATTAACAGTAAACCCAAATGCATTCAATTTTAAAGGTTTAATTTAAGAGGAAGCGTGAGGCATAACATAACAATTCAATATCTTTTATTACCATTTAATTTACAACAACCTAAAGCGCGCTCTGGTCTGCTCTCTTGCAGCTTATAAAAAGTCAATCATTTATTTTACTCGAGACAATTGTCTCTTTCCCCCTCAAACTGAAGGAGGCTCCTCATTCCACAGTCAAACCCGTTTTTCCACTATCTTTTGAGAGCTGTCGACATTCATGAGCACACGTGCACCCCACCACCCATCACTTCTCCCTCTCTAACCCATCTTTCTTTTCTCCAAAAGGGCCAAAAAGACCCAAATCCGGTTTAGTTTGCTGAAAACTGTGCTTGACGCAGCCTGTCCTGTGTAGAATATTTATAATGGACTGGCAGGTTGCTTCAATTCTTGTTTAGGTACTACAGGTGTTACATTACAAACTGAACGACTAAGTGTCAAGTAACACAGTTGACCTAGTGTAAAGTCTGTCAAATCTAGTACAGGGTGTTCAACACACAGTAGATCTCTTTAAAAAGTGTTCAAAAACCATTAGATAATATTTTAATGTGATTTGGATACGTTGCTCAATGCTGTCGTATCTGAGACATGTACAGACTGAAATATGATGTCATGGTTTGCTGTAGATATTGACAGCTGCTGTTTAGCCTCGAGACTTAACTGATTGACTGACTTATCCGTTTATCTATTTAAAAACATTTCACATTTAATAAATATAAGAATGTCAATTCATTAGATGATAAAATATTAAACCAAATGACTTATTTTTAAGACAGCACAAACACACTTTTCAAGCTAACATTTCACAAAACGAGATTAAATTGAGAGCAAATGTAGACCTTTGCGTATTGTCTTTCTTCTCAGATTGTTCTCTTGAGAAAAATGCAAGTTATCTCGATTCCTAGGACGTCTAGGGTGTCATCTCATGTGCGTTTCCTTAAGTGATTCAGAAGATTTCAACAATGTCTTAAACTGCGCTTAGAATGGTCATGATACCAGAAGTCTGAGATTAAAAGTCTAAGATTTTAATATGAACTTCATCAATAACATTTCCAATGAGTAAATTATTTGTTCTATGCTAGCTGTATTCATTTTATAACGCTTTATCCTTGCTGAATTTCAACAGTTCTTCAGAAATCATTCTAATATGCTGAATAACAGCATTATATATAAATATTTTCTTTTGATCGGCTTAATGCATCCTTGCTGAAAAAAAGGATTAATTTGTTTAAAAAAAAGTGCTGTCTCCAAACTTTTGAACAGCAGTGCATATAAATTGATCATCACTTTACAACTAAAACAAAATATATGCTCTGACACTTTTATATGTCAGCACTTGAGTTTATCGCTGTCATAACATTTGAAAAACCCTCCCTTCACACTTCATCCTGAAGCACCTCCAGCTCACACTGCAGGAACGTATTGATAAGACACACTTTTGAACGAATGACGTTATGTATCAAAACTCAACTCTTTCTCCTTGCACTTGGGTCCTCTGTTTATACAAGTGTCTCAAATACACTAAAAGAGCATTACACGACAGATAAACAGATAGCAGACAAGATAAGCTACAAGCACACACACACACACACACATTAAAGTCTCTGGTGAGAGGTAGATTAGGCATCTATTACACTCTCAACTGAAATACACGCCTCACACATACTTGAAAGTTCTCCTTTGAAGGCATTTCTTTCATCTTTAAACTGTCTTTTATCCTCTTGACAAACAACATCAGTAATCTATATCTATTTTTTTTTTTGTCGGACATAGTTGGACGCCCACTGTGACCCATCTCTATTACTGAAACAATGATTTTGGGTACACTCAGGCGGTATTGATGTGTCTAGGGAGGGTGAAGCGCTTGCACAGCACACGGGGGATTTCTCTGGTAATCCTGCAATATTGGCTTTGTGATTGGGGTTCAGACCTTGTAAGGCCTCCTTGGCACGTTCCAGCTCCTGCTCCTTCTCCCCCAGCTGCACCTTGAGCTCGGCGGCGGAGAGCGTGTCGGCCGAGCAGCCGCCGTGCGAGTCCTCCAGGTCTTTACTCAACATGTCCTTCATCTGCCTGAGGAGGTGCACCTCTTCCTGCAACTGAGCCACCTCCTCCCTCAGCAACACTGTGGGAGAAATCCAGAGAGACGGAGATAAAGAAATCACTTAGTAACAAGTAGCTCTCAGCAAGTCCTGTTTTGATGCTACATATTATTTTTTTATTTTCCATGTGGCCAGCAGGCTAAGAGGAAACAGCATAATTATGTAAAACAAAGAGTGGCTGTTAAGATACTTCATTTTTTATTTCTCACTCTTAAACAATGCTATATTTCATCCCTTTTTAATCACAGAGAAGCAGATCACATAATAAAGAAGCAGCATTCAGATCTGGAGGGGGTGCGAGACAATTTCTATGCCATTTTCAAGGCTCTTTCATAGAGTCAAGGGAGTTCGAGAACAGACACATTAGGAATGAGAGTGAAACCACGGCAACAAGAGCGGGACACAGGCCCATTTAAAGCAAAACAGCAGTAATTGGCAATGTATCAACAAATACACAAGCAAAACTGTTTAGGCATTGAGAGACGGGAGGCTGAAAGGACAAAAATGTTCCAGAGCCTCTTTTAATGAGCGGAAGAGTGGTGCTTGCTTTGCTTTGAATGAAGGGGAAAAAAACAGCCCATATCTCAACCCCACACAGAGAGTGCCTATAAACCATAGCAAAGCTGATTGAAGGACTTTCAAAAGCTCATGTGGCGACTTTCTGTTGTCAACATTTCATTTGAAGTCTTGTCCCTCTAATGTGCCGGAAATTCACAGAACATCATCGAGTCCCGAAAGCAAGCCAAATTAGCCGAGCTGCCAGTCAGGTGTGCTCTGCCTCTACTGATATGCTCAGTAAGTGAATAAATTAAACGGAGGCCTTCGCTCAATGCACTCTACATTACCAGGCAACAGCTGCGACATCAATCTTTTTCAAGGGAAACCAGGGAGCTTATCAAGTAATAGAATTCAATTAACTGTAAACTATAATGCACCCACGCTGCAGCCTGGACAATAAAGGCCCAGCTGGGATAAAATAAATCTGCAGCACTTATCAAGGGCAATCGATACAGTTAATGAGGTATTTTGCTTGGAGTGCAACATGGTAATGTAAAATACATCTTGCCAGGCACTTGATGGTTTTGTAGTTTTTCTTTCTGTTTTTGAGTGGCAGTTGCAGTCCTGGGTGCATAAACATGACAAAAAACACTTCTGAACAAAGTAGCAGTTAATTATATACATTTAAGATGTTTTATTCCTCTGCTCAAATCCCAACATAATATACATGTTTTTTTCTGATAAAAAAGTAATATTTTATATATACATATATATATATATATATACACACACACACACACACAAACTAATAATGTACTGTATTATAAATATGTATATATAAGCATTGAAAATACATTACAAAAAAAATAATAAAAAAAAATTCAAGAAAAAAAATATTTTGATTGAGTATTGCATAAATTATGTTAATTAATAGGAATTACTGTTTTTTTTTTAATATGAAATGATTTAAAAAAACGTATTATACACTTAACTCTTGTGGTGCGTTAAATGCATTAATAAATTTAACATGTTATTTCCATAATTAATCACACCAACTTAATGTGTAAAACCAACAGCCCTTATATATTTTAATTTTGTGTATATATTTTTTATCTACTGTAATAGAGCAGTTTATTAATCAAAGATGTAATTGTTTTGGAAGCTGTATTTAATCTCAGGGCACATGTGCCAGCTGACACTGTGTGAGTGCAGTAACCACTGGTACCTCACCTCCACTTTAATGTGACATGAGAACACTCGATGAGAGCACTTCCAGATAAAACTGACAATTAAATCACTTCAACCAGCTAATGTCGCAGTTCGATAGTGGATGTTTGAAAGCGATCCCGCTCTTAAGCCGTGAACATGCGAGACAGAGAGTGGGCCGGCCGCGTATGGAGATAGCATGAGGTGCTCGAGGCATTTCTTCAGCCCGCTGTTGACAAAGTGAGCGTCTGCAGCGCCACTGATAAGACAGAGACAGGGACAGCCCATTGGTCAGTGTCTGCGCCCACTAGCAGGGAGAGGCAAGCAACCGGGCTTCAACATGGCACAAGAAGCTCTTTTTCCTGGAAAGTGTCATCTTTCACGCTGTTGCGTTGGAGACCAAAGCCACTTATTCATTTGTTTAACTCGGCGGAGACTTATTTGGGGCAGTGGGTCCGGCTGTTGTCCTGCTTTGAGCTCCAGCACATACACAGAGCTTTGGCTTACTAACAGTATTTGTATGAGAACTATGTAGCTTCTGCGTTCAAGCAGCAGTTCTGCTGGTTTGTGCCAAACTCTTGGCCTAAAAATGCAAAGAATCATAAAATTATACAGAGCATGCAAGATCCTTCATGTTAAACCACAAATTTTGCAGCAAACACACACCAGCGTCAAGCTCTGAAAATTCAAAAATCATAAAAAAAAGGTCAACAAACAACATACTAGCCATTGATTGAATCAATCTCTATTGAAATACACAAACAATTTAGTTCAGTTTTATTTATTCTGAGTATTCCCAAGATACAAACCAGCAGACCACAACACTTCTTGAGGAAATAAAAGAGGTTCAGAAAGAAGTCAATGGTTGCATCATTGTTGTACAAAATTAAAAGGCAAAATCAGTGTTTGCTATTTACTATGCTATCTGGGAAAACTGCATATTTTGCCCAGGAATGGACATTTGCAAAGGGAAATACAGGTACATTACACGCAAAACAAACAATACAACTCAATAAAACCTGTGTGCGATGACCCAAATACTGGTTTGAGTGAAATTATTTTATAATTGTACCAGTATACCAACAAGTGTTTTGTTTTTGGTAATTTAAATAAAGCTAAAATAAAAAATAAATATTACATGAAAAACTTAAACTTAAAAATGTAAATGAAAATTAGAAATGTTGTCTTGGCAACTAAGTGAAATTACTAAGTTTTATAATAAAAAATTATTCAGTTTTAAGTACTAAAATTACCAAAACTGAAATAAAAACTAAAGTTATATAGAAATAAAAGCTAATAAAATGACAAAAGCACATACATTTACTAAACAGAACATGAAAACTGAAAAAAAAAGATAATTCAAAATATTATAAAAATTATAATAGTATATAAATAATACTGAAATAACACTGCCGCTAATAAAAAAAAGTCCATTATAAATATACAAAACAATCAACCTACCAACAAGGCAAACGCTGCAACAATACAGTAATATTAATACTGAAGTCTAAGACACAAAATGGCATTCATATGAAACAAAAAAAGGGAGCGAGTCCATGATGTGATACAAGACATAGAAGAAGCAGTGGTTTTAGTCGATGAACAGATGTGCGGACTGATACAGCGCTGACATGGATGATAAAGAATATTAGGAAATATCTGACTGCTGAATTGATCAATCAGAATCAAGTATTTCAGAGAGTATGTGTGTAATAAAATAAATTAATTATCATTCCAAGTATTAACTGGCATCCAAATGCCAGTTTTATAATTATTCTGCTTTAGTCAGAACCAAGTTGAAATAAGAGTTCATAGTCTCTATTTGAAGAAGCTGCATGGTGAGTATTCACTCACAGGGTTGTGTGAAATCTCATCAGAACTTCCTGAAAAGTGTCTTTGGGTCTTTATGGTGTAAGAACTGAGGCTGATAAACACAAAAGCAATCAGGCCCCTAATTCCCCAAAATGCACTGTTCAATCGATTCGCACTGGTGTCATGTCTCCTTCTCACTTATCTCAAGAGCCAAACTAACCGTGCACTTCTTTGCTTCGCAGCCACAGTGTGTGGATAAATCGAAGCAAAACTAAGCTAAGTCATAAAGTAGTTATGGATGAGTCTGTAAGAGCAATAAACCTGCATTTTTTAACTGTAAAGCTACTAAATGTTATATTCTAGATTTAATTTCTATCAAGTCTGTTACTCAAACTAGAATCAAGTAGGTCAATACGAAGCACCAAATACTTGTGCTTAACTTTCATTCCATCACACTCATAAAAAAGGAAAATGATTTAATTTAATAGGCTAGTAAAATCTCAATCACATTGATGCTGCTGTCTGGTGCCACATAAAACAATGACAATAACCAGCTATATAAACTTTGCAGCGGCAGCAATATTTTCTACTGCATAGATTGTCTTTATCTGACAGTTTTTGGCCTGCAGTTCTGCAGTTCTGTGATAAAGCATTTTGTAAAGGGCTGAACTCCAGAATGCATGTTTCAACAGATCTGTAGACAAGTTCTGATGTATAACCACCTCCACGAGACTCCCAAACGACCTGTACACGCAACTGAGTCCTTAGGCAACTCTACAAAAATGTCCTCAAAAGGAATTCATCACAGAAGATACAGCAGAAGAACAAAGAACAAAGTGCATCTTTACATGTTAGAGTTTAACAAAGTTCTGGGGTCCCAATGGCCCCAACAGACTTCTAACCCAGAGAAGACCACATAAGGTCAATGATGGAGAGGTTGCAGGTAGTGTTGTCAAAAGACCCGGTATTTCGGTTTTTAAATAAGTATAAAGAATGGCATTGGTTTTGTACATTTCATTTTTGTTTAACGTTATTAATAAAAATGTTGTTCAATTAGCATGTTTTTGTGTTTTGCTTTGGTACCGAAATTGGTACCGAGAACCGTGGATTTTCACTGGTATTGGTACCGAATACTGAAATGTTGGTACCGTGAGAACACTAGTTGCAGGTGTCTCCGGGCTCTGGCACACTTTCCAAATCTCAAGGGATGGCTGGATTTATGGAATGATCTAGATATTAAAGAGCCATTCTTTATGCAATGCCGTTTGCATGCAAAAAGCATAGTGAATAAAAAAAGATCCACAGTTTGTTTCAAATAGTTAGGATAACAAAGGTTTACTAATTAAACAATGTACTACAGAAACATTTAATACCACAGCTTAAACATGAATCAACCAAGGATTTACTGTGACTGTTACTCCAAATTATCCATTAATAAAAAATGTAAAACATTTCCCCTAGACATGGGCACAGTGTCTGTGGCATTTTCCCACATTGCTTTCACTAA